ACCCCTTGGACCCCTCAGTTTAAATATCAGAATCTCTTTATGCTGTACGATTGTTAATTTACAAAGGCATAGCACCTCCACTTTCCTTTTACATGATCTAAACACATGCAAGACATGCTTTGTTCCATAATTTCTTAACTGGGGCTGCTAATTACTGATCATGCTTGAGTATTTCTCAAAGTTTCAATAGAGAGTGAACAGGGAATTTAAACAAAAACGAAAGTTATAGAAATTATTCAGTCAGATAGAGGTCAGCTATTTAAGCAATAACCAGGCAAGTACAGCACCTGAAGATCCTTTGTACACAGGTCTGTGTGATTGCTTTCAGTGTTTAATGTGTAACTAGACTATCCATAGCTACATAAGCTACCCTACAACTTGCCTGTGAAGTGAAAAAGTTGGTTTCTCCTTTCCTTTCAACCGTAATTTTTCTATAATCTTCCTGGTAACAAATCAAAATAGTGTTATTACTTGTATTTCTGAGTAAGAAAGTGTTTTAAACTTAACTAAGGTGCAACTTAAAAGTTACCAAAGGAAAGTAAATAGATTATAACATGCAAATTGAAAACAACATATTGTAGAAAGATGGATTCAAATAACTGCTTTGATGAAATTGATCTACATTTCTTGTCAATGGCAAGTGTACTCTGCCCAACAAAATGAGAATTACTCTTGCCTACAGGTTGTATGAAGGGCCCCCAAAGCTAAGACCTATTACCTAAGACCTAAAAATGGAGACCCAAAAACAAGACCCAAAAACAAAGACCCCTTCATACTCTAGAGAAAAAAAAAGTTTGCAACAAACTTTATGGCTTCACCAAGTAAAACCAGTTATTATAAAAGCTTGACAACTTCTCTACTAGTAACATGATCATTCAATGGTTAAACAAAAGCAAAATCACCTACAACTGCATTAAATGATAAAGTAAAGTATGCTACCTTTTCTTTAATTTTCTTGTTAGTTGCTTTCTTAATTCATTGTCAAATTAAACTTAGTCCAGACAGTGCTCTTCAAAGTGTCTAACCCCTCCCCTTCATTAGCCCCCATATTCTAGAAGAGGATCAGAGCTTGCTGATGCGAACTTTTCATTCCGCTGACCCCTGCCTGTATTATGGCTTCACTCTTCTTCCATGCTAGTCCAGGCCAGTCAAGCTACTTTTCATAAAAGCTGGTCTAGCATGACAAAAGGTATAATTTTGTCTTTTATGTTTTGCATGGAGGCAGGTTTTCTTCCTCTTCCTTATTTGGTTTCGATGAAACTGCTTGCACAACGTCTGCATCATTCTGGTTCCAAAGCTTCTGGACAGAAAGCACATGGTGCTTGTAGTGTGTGACATTCCACAGTTTGAATACAATAACCTACATGACTGTGAAAAGCACATCAGCTGAAGAGGCTTTGGAGAGGTTTTTCTGACAGAATTTCGAATTACAGGGTTCTGGGAGGGGGGAGCAAATGACAGATGTAGATGATGATTGCATCCTTTATCACTATTGATAAAGAAAATACTAGGGTCTTTGTTTTTGCATTTGATTGCACTGCCATACTTTATTAATTTGCTGTTAGAAAGATTAAAACCAGAGCTGGATATTTCTGGGGAGAAAACCTAACAAAATAAAGGGGTCTTTGTTTCCGGGTCTTAGGTCTTAGGTCTTGGAGGGTCTTTGTTTTCACTAGAACCCTTGCCTACACCCATTGTACGGGTACAAGTTCCTTGCAGGAAAAGCATTCTGGGCAACAAAAAGGAAAACAGAAACATTATTAACAACTTTTGAACTATTATCACAGGGATTCAACGAAAAATAAAAGGAGCTTACTTGGAGAAAGGTCTGTTGAAACTCAATGAAATTCAGATATAACAGAAGATGTATGTAGCTCTGCTATATGTTTAATTGTTCCAGCTTACCAGAAGTATAGGACATATTGCCTTAGTTGGGTGTGTCATGTAAATGGGACCATCATATCCAACCATCTCTGAGAAATATGGCAAGGCACCACAGTGGTCCAAGTGAAAATGGCTATCATCACAAAAACAACCACTGGTCATTACGAAGTAATTACCTAAAAGCTGCATAGTACAACACCAGCTTATGTACCACCCCATTAATATAATCAGCATATGGATGCTGTTCATCTAGTTTCTAAGGTTCTATAATTAACAAATGGTAAACACCACAGCGTACACTATTGAGTTATGGATGCACGTGGGAGGTTGCTAAGCACGAAAGAAGCGTAAGAGTCGCTCGAGGCGATAGCCTCGAGCGACTCTAGCTTCTTGAGTGCTTAGCAAACCTCCCAAGTGCATCCATAACTCAATAGTGTACGCTGTGGTGTTTACCATTTGTTTTATAACATTATATTGATACATTGTAGCTAAAGAGTTCCCTTTTATTTAACAAATCTTACGCGACCAGAAAAAACAAGCGCGCGCGGAAAAATAGTCTTTGCATTTGCTCACGTCAGCAGCGTACACCCATGGGCAAATGGGGGACGCTAAATTGACCAATCAGAGCGCGCGCTTTACTTTGGTTATGTTATAATCCCCGGCCGGACCAATACTCATAGTCTTAAAATAAGTGAGGAGAATTTGCTACCTTTCTAGAATCAAGAAATGGGTAGATATTCTAGTCTTCTTGGATAAGGACGAATAAACCGTAGGCCCCATCTCCTGTAGGGTTAGGGGTAGGAGACGTTAATTTCCCACGCACGAGATTACTGTGTTGTGGATGTCCTCCCCTGGGGTGGGATGGGTGGGAATTGGCCCTGAAAAGCCCATATGGGGAGTGGTCAACTAATCTATATGTACGTATGTATGTATCTACATGCCGAGATGCTTGTAAATTCTTGCTACCCAAGGAGACAAAGTGCCAATGTATTATTCAGTTACAACCTTTCCACAGTCTTAAACAGCCCTCACCCAGCCCAATGGATAGTGTGCTGGACTGTTGTGTGGGAGGTCGAGGGTTCACTGAGCCCCCACTTAGCCCAATGGATAGTGCGCTGGACTGTTGTGCGGGAGGTTGAGGGTTCGAGTCCCGGCCGGACCAACACTCAAGGTCTTAAAATAATTGAGAAAAATTTGCTACCTTTCTATAAAATCAAGAAATGGTTAGATATTCTAGTCTTCTTGGATGGGGATGAATAAATGGAGGTCCCGTCTCCTGCAGGGTTGGGGGCAGGAGACCTTAATTTCCCACACATGAGATTGCCGTGTGATGGATGTCCTCCCCTGGGGTGGGATGGGTGGGTTTACTGGGCCCGCTGTAATTGGCGCAAGCTGTTGCGGTGTCTCTGCCTGTCGGCGATTCTAATAAATTAAATTAACCCACTTAACTATGACAAACCATCATTATCATCATTGGCAAACACAAGTTTTCTCCTTAGTTACCAGACGGGCAAAAGACCAAATTAAGTCTTTCGCATTTAACTATGTAAGCAAAATTTTCTTTGCCCTGAAATATCAACCTTTATAATAACAAAGTAATTTGTCAAAATTTTTTGCCTGAGACTTTGGCTCTCCAAGTGCCTTATAGGCTACAGTGAAAATATTGAGATAAAGAATATCCACTCAACTTACCTGATAATCACACAATCCAAATGTTGTGTTAAGCGGCCAGCTCGAGTGATGTATGAGAAATCTGGAAATCTCCTCTGTGAAAAATTGCAAAATGTTGAAAGTAATAGATCTTATCATATCACGGCATTGAAAATTGACATAGAGCACTCAATTAAGACCACCACCAGAAGCTTCTGCAGGCCGTCAAATAAAAGAAATGTGAATCAACTTTCCTTTACTGATTCAGGGTTCTTGATGAGAGCTGATAACCAGTTATTTTTACCAGCTGTTCAAGTAAATGTTATTGTCTATTTCACTGAGATCCAGGACTGAAATATTTTTACTGAATATATCCAACAATTCTTTTACATTTTTTGGAAAAATATTATTTGTCTCCTTCCAACCATTGTTGTGAAGATATCTATCACATTTTACCCATTTGAAAATATATCATATGTCGAAGAAATCCCGCTTTTTTTTTTTTTTTACCAAATTCCACCCTCACAGTCACCTTGTGAAATGCCCTCTGCCATGTTTCCTTTCCATTCTTCTCACAGCCAAGCAAAAAGGCCCCAGCATTCATTGAGAAATATCAGGTGTCCACACATGGAAAACTTGCCCTTGGACCCTTGTGGGGGTCTATATGGCCTGCACATTCCAGTGTGGGGGGAAGGTGACAAAGTTACCTACCATTTCTTATTTTTTATATGCCATGAAAAAACTTGGTGAAAACCCTGCTAATTAAACATATTGAACTGTATGCATAAAAACTAAAAACAAACCTCATCATTATATCCCATGTGCATTCCACAGTCAAGCATGATATTCTTCCCACCAATAGTAACAAGGATACAGCTGCGTCCAACATCTTCAAAATTGACAATGTTGCTTAATTATCATACAATATAGACTTTCAGTTGTGTCTCTATTAAACTGTTCTTCACATTTATTTAGTAAAATTCATTCATGATTAAGCACAAAATTAAGAACACTCTCACTGAAAAGTGTCATAGATAATGATCTTATTTTTGTCAAAAAATCAGGAGGGAGAATGAATGCAACCAGAAACTCAAGCAACAATTATAAGAAGTGATTTTGGTTTTTTTTTTGTCACAATAATGAAACACAGCATTACATTTAATTAATGGATAGGAGACTGCCGACAATGAACAAAACAAAGTAAAATGTCATTAAGTACATGCATAAGTAGATGTCTGAGATTAATTTTGAAGGTTAATTAGGATATATATTTCATGATCAGCAGATAGTTTTTTTTTCCAGTAACTACTCAAAAGATATCATATTAAAATGCCACATTACCTTGCCCAGCTCCTGACCAGATGATTCCCACAGATTACAATTATACCAGTGGAAAAAAAAATGATCACGTTTAGATCATCTAACAAACTCAGTAACATATAAATCAACTTTATGGACATTATTCATGGACAAACATTGTCATCGATAATTTTTTTACAACTGCATATGTTGTAGTTTGAAATAATTTTAAACTAATTGATCTATATTTTCCTTTTTCAAGAACTATCATGTGATATTGTACCTATTGCAAAGCAGATAACAACTCAATCTAGAGACCAATGTGACCAATGTGGGGTTTAAGTGAGATTTGTAACAGGAGTGCACCACAATATGACATCTGGGTAGAAAATATGCAAGGCCCAAGGCACCTGTGGGAGAGGGAGGGGGGATTGGAGGAGGGGGTCCAGGGGCATGCACCCAAACAATTTGAAATTCAATATCTGAAGACTGCTGTTTTGGATACAGTTAGACAATCCTCAGGGATAGTACTATATAAAATATGATGGAGTAGCTGAGAGTTCTCTTCACAGCAAGTCAATTTTCCCAGTGCACAGTCCTTAAAACAGGTTCAAACCAAATGGAAAAAGGTGAAAGGGTTAAAATAGCCACCAAAATTTGGCAGAATGTCTTGTAGTTCATTGACTCATTATCCCCTGGTAGGCTTCAGTATTTTCAACTCACAACTTCTTGACTAAAATTTCAAATGCTACTGAAATTGCTGACCTTAGTGCGCCCCACATATGTTTACAATTACATGATTTAATTGCATGATTTTGTCAGATATAATCAACAGTTTGAACACAAACATGATGTTCAATGATAGTGAATAATAGTTGAAGTGATCATTCCCTCTCATTAACAGCCTGGACCATTTGAATGGGGCTTAAAGCAAAATAGTTTTTATTATAACGTCATTGACTGAAAAATTCACCCCAAGCCTTGTTTGTACTATAATATTCCTAAGTCTTTGTTCCCTTTTTTTCTTGTCGTTTTCATCGCATTCTTCTGATTTTAGTGTTTTAGTGATACTTTCTGATTAAAATCCAAACAGTGAGGCTTGAGGGTGAAATTACATAATCTGATGTACATGTGCATTAATGATCTATTACCATACAGCCTCATACTTAGAATTATGCATTAAGTCCTTAGTTCCAATTTTCACACAGAGGATAGTAAAGATTGATATGTATATATATATAACCCTGCTTAACCACTATTACAAGGCCTGGTAACACTTGCCGGGTCCTAAGGGGCCTTTTGAAAGGAGGTACTGTACCACTACGCCAAAAGTCACAACACCTAATGAAATATCAAAAACCTTGTAATATTTACCTAACGGAACTACTTTAATGTCAGGCATTCTGTCAAAATAGGGTCCAAAACTCTATAATGTCACATCTCAAAGGAAGCTTATTGCTCGCATGTGCCCGCTTCGCCCGCTTGTCGTCAGCCCAGTAATGTGGTCAGGGTTCTCCCCGTTGATTTATGCGCAGTACAAGGGTAAGCTTGTTTTATAGAGATGAAACCGCAGGTATGAAAAATGGCTCATAAGCTTCGTATCGAGACCGATCGAAACCGAAATCATTGGCTTCTGGGTAAAGCATTCATGTTAGGTCCATATCATGTCCCAATAACTAATACACATTAATAATAATTAGTATATACTAAAACAACTATTCACCTCAGTGTCGGTGGTTAGCGGTGGATATTTACCTCGCCGCTTCGCGGCTCGGTAAATATCCATCACCAACCACCTTCACTTCGGTGAATAGTTGTTAACTATTATAACATTCATGTATGTTGCACGATATGTCCTATGTAACCTAGTTCTATCAGTTACCTTTATTCTACCTCATTAACCCCCATCTACCCTAATTTATCCATGTTCTACTGGGCCATATACTCTCGATTACCCATGTTCTACCGCGTTAACCCTCATCTACCCTAGGTAAGCCATGTTCTACCACGTTTACCCTCATCTACTATAGGTAACCCATGTTCTACCCCGTTTACCCCCATCTACCCTAGGTTAGCCATGTTCTACCACATTCACCCTCATCTGCCCTAAGTAACCCACGTTCTACCACGTTTACCCGCATCTACCCTGGGGAACCCATGTTCTACCCCGTTTACCCTCATCTACCCTAGGTAACCCATGTTCTACCACGTTTACCCCCATCTACCCTAAGTAGCCCATGCTCTACCACGTTTACCTCCATCTACCTTGGGTAACCCATGTTCTACCACGTTTACCCGCATCTACCCTGGGGAACCCATGTTCTACCCCGTTTACCCTCATCTACCCTAGGTAACCCATGTTCTACCACGTTTACCCCCATCTACCCTAAGTAGCCCATGCTCTACCACGTTTACCTCCATCTACCTTGGGTAACCCATGTTCTACCACGTTTAGCATCATCTACCCTAGGTAACCCATGTTCTATCACGTTTACCATCATCTACCTGAGGTAACCCATGTTCTACCACGTTTACCACCATCTACCCTTGGTTAACCATGTTCTACTACGTTCACCCTGATGTACCCTAGGTAACCCCTCTTCTACCACGTTGACCCCCATCTACCCTAGATTAGCCATCTTCTACCATGTTTACCCCCATCTACCTTAGGTAACCCATCCATGTTCTACCACGTCTACCCCCATGTACCCTCGGTTAGCCATGTTCCACCACGTTCACCCTCATCTAGCATCTACCCTAGGTTACCCATGTTCTATCACGTTTGCCACAATCTACCCTTGGTTAGCCATGTTCTACCAGATGGGGGTTAGTGAGGTAGAATAAAGGTAACTGATAGAGTAAGGTTACCTAGGACACATCGTGCAACATACATGATCGTTATAATACTTAGTATTAATATGTATTAGTTATTGGGACACGATATGGACCTAACATGAACGCTTTACCGCTGACGTCCAATGGTAATGAAACTCGCTTGAAAATAGCTCATAAATAATTTAAGAAGTAACGACAAGGGAGAGATTAGTCTACTCAAAGGTCTATAACTTTAATTATTATGACTGAGAGAAAGTTTGAACTCGCCATTGTTCTTGATGCTTTTAAAAAAACACGACAAGAAGACGGAAGCCTTGTCATGGACGAATATATACGAGGATATGACGAACTTTGCAGATTTTTCGATATGCTTGGGACGGTGTTTGGATTTATTACATCGGATGTGAGAGAAAAAATGGGAATTCTTCAAGGTTATCGAAGATCAGAACGTGGAGAGAAGTATGTATTAATTCAAGCAATGCTTGATTTTGAAATTGAGAATGATTTGACACGGAAGAAAACGCACCCTCTGTCAGGATCAAGAACTCTTCTAAGGTTGCACCGGGCATTAGCTTTCACTATGCTCTTCATGAGTAAATTAAGCCAATCATCAGACGACGATTCCTCGTATTGCATGGCCAAAGATGCTTATAATGAATCTCTGGCTAACTTCCATCCGTGGATAATTCGAAAGGCGGCATTATGGGCCATGTACACATTGCCGAGTGTCGGAGATTTTACCAAGAAAATTGCACAGCCAAACATGGACAAGGGCAAGACCAAGCAATTATTGAAAGAGGTTGCAGATGCAATGAAACTAGTCTACGATGTTACCGAGGAACTTTACACCGAGCATAATCTGCATGACCTTCCTTGATGGAGAGCAGCCAGAGTGAAATGTTGCTAATGAGATTTTTGATATATTTGTGGTTATTCTTATAGAAAGTAGCTTGTATTTGGTAAATATTTGGAAAGATTTCCTTATAACCCCATACCAATAAAAAACAAAGCCGTAATCCCAATGGTAATCTGTTGTTTTGCCTCTGCTTAATCTTTTATTCAAGAATTCTATGCATAATGAAGTATGGAGTTCTACAGAAATCTTGCCAAATATTTTATGAACAAAATCATTCTCTACTTTTTGGCTCAGATTGAATGCGTTTTTGATAGCAGTTGATTTATGAGATATTTATCACCCACCAAAATGGAATCTAAGAAGCACCAGTCAGAGCAAATTAGAACCTTAGAAAAGGCCACTGAGAATTTTAGAAGAATACACTTCACAAGCCTTGAGCTTGCCTGTGCTGTTTGCTGTTTTTTAGGGCTTACTGACAGGAAAAGCCATTCATCAATGATCAGTGAGGCTTATGTATACATGCAATAAGGTCAAATGTTCAATTTATTATTTCCAAAATGGAATTCTCTTGTTTTCTCCCTGCCTGCACATGAAATTAATGCATTATGATTCCTCTCCCAAAAAGGTTCAACTAGAAATAGTTGACTTCAAATTGAGTGACAGGTCTGTTTTGTTTTCTTCAGTCGTAAGGCCCTCCTTCTTTACAGTTTGTTTTGCACTCAACACCCACACACAGCGAAAGTTTATTATTATGGTTTGTATGTGGGTGATAGGACCAGTTTCATTTAACACGTTTTTCTCTGATTGTTCAGGGTTTAGAGGTAACATCAAATTGCACCATGCAGTGTCTGTAGTGGTGCCCTCCTCTTGGTGTTTTAGTTGTCTTTACTTTTGTTCAGTGCCAAAACTCTTCAAAGCTTGGCAGGCTAGAAACAAGCATGGATTGATGTGACTGCTTTGGTTGCGCTAATTGGGTTAGTGATGGATTTTTCTGGTTAAGTAGATTACATTACTTTCCAAAGCTACTCCCAAAGCCTATTAGGGGATAAAATCTAAATCAATCCTGAATTGTGCACAACTTTCCATGAAAAAAATTAATGGTGGATGTATTTAATAAGGGTATGTTTGAAATATATGTTAATAATTGTTTTGGAGCTTTCTGTCCAAATAAGAAATACCAATATGTTTATTCTAGTTTCCTTCTTTATGTAGAATTTATAGCCATAAAAAGTAATCCTGCTGGACTTATCATTTTCTAATTTTGTGGCACCCTATATAATTATGCTAAAAAAATGTGAGGACAAAGTTATCTTATTTCTTCATAGTACAGTAAATAAAACATTTTAATATTAACTGATATAGCAGTTTTACTGGAAATATTTAAGTTAAAATGAAACCAGAATTAAGTGTCAAAATTTGATTGTACCAAAATTAATTTAGTTGTTCACAGGGGACACTAGAAATAGGTAACAACTTATCTTTAATTGGTCATCCAAGTAGGATTAATTGATTATAATCCTGGTAAATTCATGAGTAATTCATTACTTTGAGGAGAGAATCACTCTTCCTCTTGGATTTCTGTTCTGGAAAAAGGCAAGCTTACTTTGATTTATCCCCAGATGTTTGGTTTTTTTTTTTTTTAATATTGTCTGGTTTTCCTCTTCTAAATGTTTTGTATTTATAGTAGGCCTGCGACTGGGCTTTCAAGAAAGTGTCGCTGTGATCTAAGTAAGAAATATAAGTACGAAATGTTCTAACCTTACTGTTTTCCAGCTTAAATTGTAACTTCATCTATATACTAAAACAAAGTTCTATGTGTGGCTTTCATTCTGAATGTTGTCAGAAGAGAAATCAGAATGTTTAATTTTGCCCTGACTCTATTCTACCCTTTTAAATTTGGTCTGTGACAAATTCACCTCTGTTAGTGTCTCCCCATCAATGCAAAGTTGCCAAAATAAATGCAAATAATACGAAACAAAAAGAAAATTTTAAAACAAATACAATTATCTATAGGCAGAAAACCAAATTATGATTTGATGGAAATTCAACTTAGTACTTAAGAAGGAATTATCCAGGTTGGTTTTTCTCATGGAGATTGGAATGACCCAAACCAAGTTTTCATAAAGCTTGTGTTGAGGTGAGATATCGCCAAATGTTAAAACTAGCACCTTGACCATAACTAAAAGAGTGCAACTCAGACAATATTCTCAAGCTGCAACTTCCATCATACATCTACTGTAAAAATGCATTACTTCTGTCTGATCACAAAACCATTGCTCTTCTGTATAATTATGCATTCAAATAACTGCAAAGATTCAAGTATGATTTAGAAGTATTTTAATTTAATTCCACCTTCTCAATAGAACATTACAGACACTAATTTCTCACAAATAAGGCTACCTGGTAGCAATATAAAGACAAAAAGTACAGTGCTCACTGGTTCAGTGTAACAATAATTACAATTACTTTAAATTGTAAACTGAAATAACTTCAAAAGCTGAGGTGATAATATTTCAACTTTGGACAGATAGATTGATAATTTCTTTAACACCTGTGTAGGCCTTAATTTGTTCAACTCGTGTACTAAATAAATATAAACATTAAAATAAGTGATAGTATTTTTTAAACAATATTGATGATCAAACTGTAATCACAGCATTTCATGCCAGCATCCACAAGACATTGTAAAAGCTACAAAATGGCATAGAGTAACAGGAAACAAGATTTCTTTTCATTAATCTTAGTATATCTAACGATTAATTATACACACAATTTGTTTAATTTTTAAGGGTGCATACATAGTATGCAATTTTTTAACAAATCTTCCCAAGAAAACTGTGCATTCCCTCTAAAACCTTTCCAAATTTGGTATGGCACACTGATTGTACAATTTGCTTCGTAACATTTGCATAGATAAAATCGATACGATTTATAAAACATTGTGGCTAACTACCACATAGTCTGCTTGATACAAGCTACAAAAAATGTTATTGAAATAACACAACTGAACGTTACACAACGTTTTGGGTCTCAACATAAACTGTAAGAATTTAACTAATAAAGTGCACTGAAGTCAAGATATCCAGCAAGAAAGCTATCTTCAACTGAAGAAGGAACATGTGCATCATTGACTTCAGGTACAGCTTCTCCACACACTGCATCATCCACAAGGTCTTCACCTTTAATGGCCATTGGATCATAGCCAAGAATTTTTGGAATATCACACAAGAACCTGTAGACATATCTTTTCCCATGAACCTTCTCAATCACTGAATTGCCATAGTAGTAACGGATACCACGGCTCAACTTCTCGTAGTTCATTGTTGGCTTGTTTTTCTTCTTCCCCCACATCCTGGCCACTGTTGAGGGCTGAAGAATCTTGAACTCATAGTCCTCATCTTGAGTCCACTTGATCAGCTTTGAACATTTAGGGTCAGTGACCAACTCCAATAGGAATTGCCACAGTTGAATAGGTCCATCACCTGAAAGAAGGTATTCACAAGTTTCTAACTTAAAATTGAACACATTGGGAGTAGAGAGAGAGCTAGCAAGATGTCAAAACTTGAAATACTAGTTGCACAGACCCCGATATTTGACCAGTGGTCTTGGCCCACGCTTTCGTCTTCTCACTGGCTTGGGTACAACAGCTGACAAAGTTGGTTCTGTTAAAAATAGGAGTTCAAATAATAAAAAATCAAGAGACCAATTTACAATAACAAAGATGTCAAAATGAAAAAAAACTGATGATACCCTGTTTAATATTGCATTGGTCAGCTTCGCCATTTACTGATAAGGGTGACTCTGCAGACTGACTCACTCTGTCCACAAATAAGTCTAAAAGGTTACACAGAAAAAAAAATTTAGAAAACACAAAAAATTACAGAATTCTCACCTTAGAGTACCCTTACAGAAAACAGGTTTGAACATGACAATCAGCCATTCCTCAGATCATTCTTATAAATTCAGTGGTGTATGTATGTTTTGATAAGATTACTTTTCACTAACCATCAATGTTTTCAAGGTCACTTTGAATCCCTTCGTCAGTACTGGTGTTTGAACCGGATTCACTGGTAGGTGGGCTGTAAGGAGGGCTGCTGCTAGCGGGTGAGTTGTACACTGTATCACCACAAACTTGGAACTTAGCCTCCTCTTTTGTGATGACAGGCAAAAAACTGGGTGGATATGTTGTGTTGGGTACTTCATCTAGCAGCCCATCAAACACTGCTGGGTCTGGTAAGTGATCAAAATCTGAAAAATGAAAGGAATATTAAATATACTTGTAATATGATTAGACATGTGCAAACTTAAGGTTACTTTGAACCAGGACCGATCCACATGTACCTTCCCCATTCAATGTCTACTCATAAGTTCATGGCTAAAGTCACTTAATTGTGGGAGGTGTAAGTGAGCTGTAGGGGAAAAAGGATTAAGCTGCAAGTGATGAAAATTGTTATCACCTCCTCTTTTAATTTTAGACATGATGCAACACTACATGATAATGATAGAAAACCAATATAAATCTGGCTATCCTCCATTCCCTCCCTGTCCTCTACAGAACAAGAGGATACAAATCGTCTTAGTTGTGCAACCATGCAGTTTTCAAAGATCAGACTTGAATAAAAATTGTCATAAAACAAAGGCAAAAGTTGAATAAAAATTAAAAAAGCTGACGATGTTGAAAAACGAAAACAGGAAGTCTTAACGAATTGGACCAGGTGCCAATGAAGGGCGATTCGAAACTAATTGGAATTAGGTCGCCTTGGAGACAAAGAGTGACGTTTTCCAAACGGAAAACACAACAATTGAAAATTGCACGAGTAAAATTTAGGTCATAATACCTTTATTAAATCTCTCTGGTTCGGGATTGAAAGCGGAGTAGTCTGAAAAGCCATTGACCGAAATCCCATTGAAAAGAGCATCCACTTCGTCTTCTTGAAGGCCATACAGATCATCCAAGAAGGACTTTTCTTGAGGAAACTCGACGACTGCAAATTAAAACACAAATAAACTCGAATATTTTCAAGTTCTAAACTTTTTCCTCTTTCGATTTTAGATGAGAACACAGAGGGCGTTCTGAAAAAGATGGTTTTAGGTTGGTTTAGGATATAAATTTAGCGACTTCAAACCTGGTTGCCTCATGGTGTGAATTTTCTGATTTCGACCGATCTGAGGAGCACACATCAACCGTTCAAAGCCTGGTACCGGAGTTGCGTCGGGTACGAGTGGTTGGTTTGCATGAAGAAGGCTCATCTGCATGAATCGATCCATTTTAAGGGTGGTTAGAAAGTTGAACCACTACAAGAAAAGGGAAACAAAATTCAGATATCACATTGTAAAAAAAAAAAAGAAAACAAAATCGAACCATCTGCTGCGCGAGGGGGATTTCAAAGGAAACAGGAAGTTCTAACCACCTCGCGATGGTGACAAAAATTCTATATCTAACTTTTCGCTTTACTGTACTACAAATACCTTTGAGGAAATACATATTCTAAATTTTGGTGTAAACGTTCGTCTTGAGGATGACATCTTTTTTTACGAATTAATTTTTTAAGGGCCGAGAGAGCTTCACCTCGTCGAGCTGAAGGGAAGTTTGAATACATAATTAGGTTGGAAAACAGTCAATGAGCTCACCTCTATTTTATTCAGCAGAGCTCCATCAGAATTTAGAGTTTTAGCCATCTTCAAGACTTTCAAAGAGAAAAGAAGAAATTATATCCTATCCGCGGTCATAAGAAAACAAATCCGTCCAGCGCCCTTTGGTATGCTACTTCTTATTAAGAGGAAGTCGAAATTCTGACACTGAAAAATAAGAGTTAAAATAATTCACTGAGGTGTTTTCGAGAAACTCACCTTACCTCCTTGATTGAAACAGAAGAAATACAACTCTTTTGATTTCTTCGGTGAAGTTTTAAGTGTGTGTTGCCAGAAAATCGTACTTTTTTACAAAGTTCACTCGTTGCGTTTCCCTCGTACTCAAATAAGCTCAAGTTGACACCTACCGCTCATTTGTATGATTCGAGAACAAGCTGAAATCTGATTGGCTGTATGTACTCCTACTCAGTCTTTCCGCGGTCATTACTCTTCCAAAATTGAGAAGCAGCTTGGAGACAAATGAAATGAAGAACACTTGTACGTGTCACCCCCTGTCGCTACGGTGATTACACCTTAATCAATGGATGATAAATATCGTTATCTGTAAAGCTATTCTGTGAAAGGAAATTTGTTAGTTGCGCTCCATCATCGGTAGTGACCAAAATTGCAGGGTTTTTAGCAAACCTTCCCATTAAAGTAAAACAGACATGCATCCCTCAAAGGCTAAACAAGAAACCCTGCTTGTAGAGGGGATATCCTCCTCAAGATTGTTTCCTTCATTGAATTTATTATTTACGACAACAAGATTACTTCAATAAAACTATATGACTCAGTTGGGGTGCGTACCATTTAATTTAATCCTTCGTTTTTCTGTATGTCGCAGCATCGCTTAAACACACGCTGAAACAAAATAACTGCAGTCTTCCATGTATGCTGAAACATTAGTCGAACAATTCTGAAGAGGCTTGGGTCAAAAAATGGTGGATGAAAACTTGTTATTAAAGTTACACAAACAAGCAAACCGGTATTTTTCATTTATAATGGCTTTGATATAATGAATGATTAAAATGTGATATTGCTTTAGCAAGTTCTTGAGCAAAGGTGAACGTATTCTCTGTTAAATTAAAAGAAGCCTTTATGCAGTCTACTCAAGAGACGTAATCACAATAAGAGACTTTGACGTTATGAATAAATATAAACTTCGTAGCTCACTCTTCATTTTCGCCTCGTTTGTTTTACAGAAATTCATGCTGAGAATCAATAGAACTTATTTTGTACTAACTTGATAAATTATTGGACTATTTCTGTGCTGGCAGAATTTACATTTATAGCAAGCTATGAGTTGCTATCAAAAGAATAAAAGGAAGAGGTTGAAAACCCAGCTAATTCTTTCTCAGTACACTCCTCTTCAATTGAAAGCTTCACTCTAATTTGCTATGTTGGCTATTAAATTTACCAGCCTTGTATATAGGGTTCTAGATTTGCCATTCACCTTTCTCTTTTCTGTATAGTTTTAGATATGCTTTTACTTCACATTACTAGACTTTGAATCTGTTCTGATTTGGCTCTGTTATTTATAGTTTTCCAGACGCTTTGACATTAAAAAAAAGGAGTAGATGTGAGCCAAAAGTGAGTTATTTTGGATCGTTTTTTACGCTGTTGATATTTTGTATTGTAGAGGATTTTATGGAAATTATTGCTAAACCAGTTGTAATGGATTTCAGGAAACATAGTGTCAAATAAAGAAAACTTAGGAATCACTTAGTCAGAGCCTCTTGATTTTGATTAAAATGAATTTTAAGAAACAGTCGAAAATGATAACTTAGGAAGCACCTTGTCTGATCTAATTAAATGTAACCATGGAAGTTGATGAGATTCAATTGCACTGCCTAGAACTATTGGTAAATACAATGATGGCATTTTTGAAATAAACTTACCAACAAATACTGTTCCCTTGTTAATTGTCCTCCTGATCAAAATATTTGAAACAAAATGTTGATTAGATGCTTGTAAAATCAAGAGCATAAATCCAGGGAAACACTCAAATTTTGCTATTCAGATGCACTATCTGGATTTTGTTTTCCATCCTTTTGGGTTTGTTTGTTTTCTTTAATTTTTCTTAGCGTTTCTTATTTTTGCTCTACTTTTTTAAAAAATTGTTCATTCAGGCAATGGTAAACAAAACATTTTAAGAGGATGACCTCATTTACAACTTACAATCAAAGTTAAAAACTTCTAAATGACCATACTGCTGTCCACTGATTGATTGAGGAAATTTAACAAAGAACCAAGTTTTTTCGGAAAAATCCATTTTTGGGGATTAAGCAATCAAATAGGTCTATTTAATGTAAAATCAGGTGAAAAAGTTAGGGTTAGGGTATCTTTTAGGGTTAGGGTTAACCTATTGACGTCCAGTGCGCCCGTATGCGCCCATGGGGACCCACACCCTTTCTACGC